CTCTCTCTCTCTCTCTCTCTCTCTCTCTCTCTCTCTCTCTCTCTCTGTATGTGTGTGTGTGTGTGTGTGTGTGTGTGTGTGTGTGTGTGTGTGTCTGCCTGTGAGTGACCTGGGAGCTCGCGCCACTACGCTCGACAAATGCAAGACAAGAGTGAATCTTTCGCTAGAACATGGAAATACACCACCATGATTTTTGTCTTTTGTGCATGTCGACAGTACTGGAGCGCCCATGCGCCCTTCTCGGTTGTCTCCCGCCGTCTAACAAACGACGGCCAAGAAAGTGGCAGCGGGGGAAGCGGGAAGTCAGGGACAGTGGGAATCCATGACGGACGCACCTGACTACGCCAGGACATTGTATTTTTTCATGTTCTAGCAGAAGATTCATTCTCATTTTGCACATTTGGTGAGAGGAGTGGAGGGAGGCTTCAAGTGGAAAAATTGGGATGAACATTTGGCCAGAACATGGAAAGATACAACAACACATTTTGTATCCATGTAATGCCCTTGGTCCCAAACTAAGACTAAGCCTAGTTAACCTGAACCAAGCCCCTTGCTGTCCAAAAAGTTATTGCACAGCCCTCGAATACAATACATATGTGGATTAAACGAATAAAACGCAATGTATGTGTTGTATTCCGAGTCGTTCACAATGCATATGCACTATGTTCAGGGAAAGAAGGTAGTACCCCACGGGGAAACGGTCTTAAGGTTGTGTCAATGTTGTACGAGGGGATCCAACCGTCGAGAGTCCTGCTAGTTGTGCTTATGACACCAGTTGCTCGGCGATCCCCCACCTCCCAATTGTGTAGTACACAGTTGGGAGGTGGGGGATCACTGAGCAACTGGGTACCGTTGGGAGTCTTCTGGCTTGGAATACCCATGCTCTGCCCTGGGAGTGTCGTGGGAGTGCGATTAAAGCACAGGTTGCCAGAGTAGGGCTTGCGTATACCTCAGCGTGCACAACCTTTGTGAAAAGAAAAGAAAAAAAATGCTTTTTGTTGATGATTGTTCGCGTTTATCCGGTGAACTCTCATAAAAATAAAGAAGAAGAAAAAGAAAAAAAAACAGAATTTTGTGCATGGCGATCATTGTGACCAGGAGGTATATTTACTTTCTCATTATATTTACTCACGGTCGTCGCGCCCATGACAAAGTTGCACTACCGCAAAGGATTTCAGCTCCCCCAATCTGCTACTCCCTCAAAAAGTTGCACTTCTATCATCTCGACGTCGAAAAATACCGACTTTTACTTATAGTATACCTCATTCATACAAACATGCTAAGGTCGTTAGACCAAGCATGACCAACCTAGGCACCCAACGCACTCCACGTTACCCGAACCCAAACGCCATCTCAAATAGGTCAATGGTAGTTGCTTTTATCTACAGTACCGCTGATCAGCCTTGGCATTGATCATAACAATGTCAATTCCTATGCACGTGCACTACGTCTGTGCAGGCATACTAATCAAAAGTTGACCTTTCCTCAGTCCGTGCCTCTTCACAAAAATCGTTGATCCCTGTCGCCTAGATGTGGCACTAACACACATTCGAAATTCAACGTCATTGCAAAGTGCGCACTCACACACTTCCTAATGTAATTATGCGCGTGCTTCTACTTCGACTTCTAGGAGCCGACTGAAGACCTCATAAAAAGAAATGTGTCATTATCACAAACATCACTAGAGTTGCCACCCGCACGAGCTACAAAAACATGGACAAATACCCTTGCGCGGACAGTGTTTCTGGACCCTATTAAGTGGCATCCCCGTTGCACAGGGTGCTTGTTTTTTTCAACCCAACTTTTCTTTCCATAGTTTTTTAAAATCCTTTGGAGACCTGACAAGGTTATCTAAAAGTGTTTTTTACTATTACTACTGCCGACCTTCTATTGGTCAGATAGTTAGTCAAACACAATAATCCTTTAGCAATCACCCTCACCAACCCTTTGTAGTGGTAATACATGCTTTTATGAATTATATTAGTCCCCGAAATAATGTCCAAATAAGTATATTTTTTTCAATATCATAATTCTTAATTTCCAATTTTTAAGAACAAAAAGTTTACCACATCACTGTTTTTCATGATTTGTTATAATATTTACAAGTGGACCCCACCACGGCTACGCCGTGGCACACAACAACACTCGCTGATAGCGTTTTATTTTTGTTTTATGTCTCTCTCTCTCTCTCTCTCTCTCTCTCTCTCTCTCTCTCTCTCTCTCTCTCTCTCTCTCTCTCTCTTCGTTTCTTCCCGTGTTGTGCTTGGCAGGCATCGGTGCTTGTCGTATGCTCTGTCTGTTTCTCTCTCTCTCTCTCTCTCTCTCTCTCTCTCTCTCTCTCTCTC